AACATTTTAGAATTATCTTAAGAATCTCCTAAGTATATCCAAGTAAGCCCATTCCTAAGGGAGCTTCTGGGTCTATCATATAAGATCTAGCTGTCTTAGGACCATCTGAAGTTTTGTCCTCAGATATCTCTTAAGTTATTAAGTGGTTCATGAGAAGATCCTTTCCTATATATTTCCATATTAATCTTTGATCGTACAGTAAGGCCTCATCCTACCCCCAACCCCCTCCCTCGGAGTCGTTTTTAAACAATTTTATTTGAATGTACACTACCCAAGGATGCGTCCATATAAGTTTCGTATATTCTAGCTGGCCTAGTGGTTCTTGAGAAGAATTTTAAGGACCCTCTTTACACTGATGAAAAATGTTTTTTTGGACTTTGAGAAAATTATACAGCATAAAGATGGATATTTGAAATCAACTAATTAGTTTTTAGCTCACCTGAGCCGAAGGCTCAAGTGAGCTTTTCTGATCACATTTTGTCCGTCGTCCGTCTGTCCGTCTAGCCGTATGTCTGTCCGTCTCTCTGTCTGTCTAGCCGTCTGTAAACTTTTCACATTTTTGACTTCTTCTCAAGAACCACTGGGCCAATTTTGACCAAACTTGGTACAAAGCATCCTTGGGTGAAGGGGAATTTAAATTGTTAAAATGAAGGGCCAAGTCCCCTCACAAGGGGAGATAATCAAGAGAAGACAAAAATAGGGTGGGGTCATTAAAAAATCTTCTTCTCAAGAACCACAGGGCCAGTAAAGCTGAAACTTATATGAAAGCATCCTGGGGTAGTGTAGATTCTAAATTGTTCAAATCATGACCCCCGGGGATAGGGCGGGGCCACAATAGGGAATCCAAGTTTCACATTGAAATATATAGAAAAAATCTTAAAAAATCTTCTTCTCAAGAACCACTGGGCCAGAAAAGCTGAAACTAATGTAGAAGTATTCTGGGGTAGTGTAGATTCTAAATTGTTCAAATCATGACCCCCGGGGATAGGGCGGGGCCACAATGTGGAATCAATGTTTTACATAGAAATATATAGGTAAAATCTTTGAAAATCTTCTTCTCAAGAACCACAGGGCCAGAAAAGCTGAAACTAATGTGGAAGCATCCTGGGGTAGTGTAGATTCTAAATTTTTAAAATCATGACCCCCGGGGGTAGGGCGGGGCCACAATGGGGAATCCAAGTTTTACATTGAAATATATAGAAAAAATCTTTAAAAATCTTCTTCTCAAGAACCACAGGGCCAGAAAAGCTGAAACTAATGTGGAAGCATCTTGGGGTAATGTAGATTCTAAATTGTTAAAATCATGACCCCCGGGGGTAGGGCGGGGCCACAACAGGGAATCCAAGTTTTACATTGAAATATATAGAAACAATCTTTTAAAATCTTCTTCTCAAGAACCACTGGGCCAGAAAAGCTGAAACTAATGTAGAAGTATCCTGGGGTAGTGTAGATATAAATTGTTAAAAGCATGACCCCCGGGGGTAGGGCGGGGCCACAATAGGGAATCCAAGTTTTACATTGAAATATATAAAAAAAAATCTTAAAAAATCTTCTTCTCAAAAACCACTGGGCCAGAAAAGCTGAAACTAGTGTAGAAGTATTCTGGGGTAGTGTAGATTCTAAATTGTTAAAATCATGACCCCTGGGATAGGATGGGACCACAATAGGTGTATTACATGGGGGAAAGTCTGGTGAAGAACAGCAGGATCAAAGTTACTCAGGTGAGCGTTGTGGCTCATGGGCCTCTTGTTGATATAGGGAGTGTGCCTTTTTTTTTATCTAGGAAAAATCTGCAAAAACAATGAAGTAACGAAAACGAAATAACTTTTATTTACTCAAATACAGAATACATGTACATACACATTGTAAAGTCTTCAGCTACTCTATATAAGTCTAATATAATGTTTCGAATACTTATTTTAAATTATGACATATAGTGCAGATTACAAATTATTCTATTTTATGTCAAATGGTGGGTCAGTCTAACTAAACAAAAGTACCCTGAAATTAGGGTGCAGTGTAAAGAGGGTCCTTAAATTATGACATAAAATTTTCATTCATTTTTATTATCTCGCCCTTAAAGAGAGTGTGGCTCTTTCTTTTTACCAAACTTGATTATCCTTTATCTAATTATACTTTTTGGGAAGTTTGGGTACAATGGTTCTTAAGAAGTTACAAATTTAATGTGAAAAGTTTACAGACAAACAGACAGGCAGGTACCAAACAAAATGTAATCAGCTGAAAAGCATTCATACACCACTGAAGTTTCTAGACTGTAATGCTGTAGTATTTTTTAGTTAATAATTTTAAAATGATGAATTAATCTCAATTAAAATAAGTTTTCTCCCCCAAACATTAGAAAATTTCAAAATTTGGTTATATTACACAGTTGCTAAGCAACACTAACTTCAAAGTGTATCCATGGTAACCATAAAAACATACAGTTTCTCAAATTATGAATGTTAAAGTTTCCTGAGTGTTTTGCTTATTTCAATGCAAGCAAAAAGTATGAATACTGAAAGCCAAAATTTCAAATAAAATATTTTGGTCACAGATAGTTTCCTTTCTAGCAATTGTGCAACATGTTGCCATGGCAACCCAAGTATTATTTGATTATGGAATCTTGTCATCCATACAAACTTTCTGATACATAATAATATTGTATCTTCAGATATTTATTTTTTATTTAGAATGTTTTTGTTGAAAATCTCATTTCAGTCCTTAAAATTTAGCCCCAAAAATGACTGAATGTAAAAGGATATTGTGGTAACAAAAGTGGTTGATAAATGTTCAGTTTTGTTGCCATGGGTTAATAAAGTACAAAAATACTTTATCAGACCCATATTAAATTGACAGTTTTGCCAAATTGTATTTTAAAGAAAATTATCTATTTGTATCTATTATAACTCTATACAAAAACGCCAAAAATAATCCTTTTTGCATTGTTGCTATGGAAAATTTTCTGTTGCCATGGAGATAAATAAATATATATAATTGATTCATTTTTTAAATAAATGAGAATTATTTTCTATTACTTGAAAAATTGTATCTACAACTAAAAGATAACAATTTATAAGATTTTGACTCAACTCTCTTCTCAACTCTCCAACTTGCTAGGGAACGGATAGGATTTTTCAAAAAACCTGCGTTTTCGAAGTTAGAGTCTTAAAGAGGGAGTCCTCCCCTTTTATGTGAAATAAACACAACAGCTGTATTTGCTTGGTATTAATTTTAAATTGACTTTCAATATTGCCAAAATCGAGGAAAATGCTGAGTCAGCAAAAATGCAAAAACATGTATATATTCTAATAGCTACCACAGTACTACCTTTGAATAAAATATCAATGTCTTGTGTTGTTTAAACACCTAAAGTGTGTGTCTTTATTATACCAGTAAATAAGAATAATTGTTAAAGTTTTTATATATAATTTCAGGCTTTAAAAATAAGTGATTTTTTGTCCTTTCACATGGAAAAATTGGCTGGTTGCTAAGGAAATTACTTTGACCAGGTTTCAATAGTAACCATGATCCAAAACATCTTTTATTTTACATTCATGGATCATAGTGCAAGAGAAATCTATGTGTGGAAAATCATTGAATTCTGAGAACCTCAGTGAATCACTTATATATTACTTTTGTCTGATTTTTACGCGGACTGGTACTTAATGATTGTGACTCAAAATAATTTATATCAACCGATACGATCAATGTTGGTGTTGCCTCTATGATACATGAAAATGTAAGTTTTCAGGGGTTTGGTGGGTTTATTTAACGTCCCCTCGAGAATTTTTCACTCCTATTGAGACTCCAAAACTTTCCGATGGAGGGCTGCAAATTTAGACCTGTACTCGGCACTCACGGCTTTTGAGCAATGAGGGATCTTTCTCGTGCCAGCACCTACTGCGAAACGAGACCTCGGTTTGTTTCTGGATTTTTTCTCATCCGAAAGACCAGTCTCCACGATTCGCAGTGGGATTGAAACCCGTGACGTAAGGATCAATTCCTTATGCCGCAACTCTTAGAGGAAGAGCTCTAAACTATGCGCCCCGCGGCGACGGGAGGATGGTACACGTATTTATCAACGATTAGTCCTTATGAAAAAAATTACCTAAATTATTGTAAAAAAAAAAAAAAGAAAAAAAAGTTTCTAGACAAAATCTGTGTATATTTTGCATTCATTCATTATTACTCATTAGGCTTGTTACTGACTTTCCACAAAAAATATTGCGGGTTGTTCAAGCCGTGGTTGGACTTTTTTTTTTTTAAATGTTTCTATGAACAGTCAGTATTTTGTTCTGTCGAGGACCAATAACAGTTAACAAACCTATCATGATCAACTACAATTAAACGAATTTTCTCGTCTGTGCAATTTTCCTCAACTCAACAGGCCCGTAGGAAGCAATTTCAGTTTTGGGGGGGGGGGGGGGGGCACAACCATACATTTTTCAGTTGACAGTTGAGGGGGCACTACCAAAAATTTCCTGACAAGCAAAAAAAAAAAAAAGAAAAAAAGGTCATCAGACGTTTTTATTGAGGGGGCACCAGCATATACTACCTATGTTGACTATAGTAATCTATATATCGGCAAAATTATCGGGGGGGTGGGGGGGGGCGTGCCCCCCCCCGGTTCCTACGGCGATGCTCAACATCTTGTTGTTACTGAAAAGGAGCTGTACTCTAAGTGTAATCGCAGCATTGTTAAATCGGTAAGAATTTAATGAATTGATCGGTTTCTATAGCGCAGCGCTGGTATAATTCTTTCTTTAAATTTGGAAAACAAAGCATCATTTTGTCAGCAATACTGCCGTCCAGATTTTGTAAATCACCGGCCAAAGATATATTGAAAGCTGACACGTGATGTTCGTTACCCAATCACAGAACGTCATTTTAGTCAGAGACAAAACAAAATATTTTCAGTGAACAAAATCATCACTGACAAGGTGTTTTGCGTTGGCTTATTATTATGCATGTGTTTCGTACACATATATTAGTATACTTACCAGCTGTTCCAGAATTTCCAGACAAAGCGAGTATATAATTACTCGCCTCATCCCCGACATCAAATGTGGCATACTCGGTATACGCTGTGTCGCCACTGAAACTCTGAAGATTAACCCGCAGTTTCTGGTTCTTTCCTTTGGATAAGTGATATATTACGTCATTTCCTGTTCATATAAGCAAAGTATTTATTTTGCTTCAATACGGCAATATAACAGATATATATATATATATATATATATATATATATATATATATATATATATATATATATATATATATATATATATATATATATATATATATATATATATATATATATATATATATCTTTGCCCAATATCCATTGAAAGACTGCAGTTAAAGTTCTTCAGATGGCTTTAAAAATCCCCTGATAGGAATAAAAACAAGTGTTGTTCCTTGTGTTTCTGTTATCATTTTCAAAACGATGGTATATGACCAACTTTTCAAGCTTGTGACGTCTGAGTTAATTACACAAAATATCCCCATGCTTTAACTTTTCCATTATGATCAAGGTTTTCTTTCTTAGCAGAATATATCAAGTATTAAAAAGGTTTAGATAATGAAATGTTATGGAAATAAAGATTTTGTTGCTTAATTGAAAAAAAATAGAGTTTGAGCAACGAACTTATTAAAATATTTCAGTCCGAAATTTCTATATCAATTTTCTTAATTCTATTATTTTTTATAATCTAATGTTTCAAAAAATTCTATATTGAAAACTTTTAACTTTTCATAGCCTCATTTTACTTGTATTACCCTTATTTTACTGGTATCTGGTAAAAAAAAAATTAATTAAGATCAATGATCAAAATTTGGTAAAATATGTCATACTTCAGATCTTATCCGTAACGCCTTCGGATGATCTGAAATATACTTCTTGAGTTTAAACAAACAAAATATTTTCAAAAATGGTATTAAAAAATCTGAGAAAAGTAGAATGTTAGGTGAATATATGTGGGAAAATCAAGTATGTAAAAGATATATTTTTTTTATTTTAAAAAATTGTTCAAATTTCCTAAGCACAATATGATGTCTTTATTTGATGTTGCACATTTGCGTCAAATAATTAAACATTAAATTCTGATTTTGATATTCATTTATTACATGGTTATTTTGTCCGTCTAAAACATTTTTTATATAAAGACGTTGAAGTTTATAACAATCTGTTCTGTCGATTAAAAACCTGGTTAAACGTCATCTTTAATTATTGTTTTTGTTTTATGCAAAATTAAGTAACAAGTTACGTTCATTACTACATCCTAGCGCTATGATCGGCAGAAAACCAACATTTCGTTCAATCATTTCCTTATATTTACCTGCTACAGACCTTTTAAGTGATTAGAACTTTTTATTTATTTTTTTTAATTGAACCAGACATTGGGAATTTGCAGATTGATTCGATTTGTTATGTTTATTTTAATTACATTTCTATCATTCTGTTCAGGTAGGACCTAAGCACAGTTTTGAGAAGTTTGCATTGAATTTGAAACATGGAGTTAAATAGTCATATGATAAATTAAGACGGGCTTGAAATTTGTACTCTAGGTGAAGCCAAATCATCGTATTGCACTGAATAACAACAATAAAATTAATTTACCAGATTAAAGTGCATTTTCAGTTTTTGGAGGAACTACTTGAAATATAAATTTTACCTATCATTTACTTAGACTATAAATTTTACCTATCTTTTATTTAGAATAAAAATTTTACCTATCCAATGATTTTTACCAGGAGTACCAAATCCCTGTTTGTACTCGTTCCATGTCCTGTAGAAATCGGTTGAGTTATCTTGTCGTTGTTGTATGACCTGTAAATAACATGCGTCTTTTTATTTGGTAGCCAACATGTCAATACAATTTAAAACTGGAGTGTTCCAAGAAACGTTTTTGTCGCCTGCTTTATAGCATCGTTAAAATTGCAAAAAATCTTTAACTTGTCAGTGTTTTTTATTTTGTTACTAGCATTATAGTTCATACATTTACCTGCGCGAAAAAAAACACCACAAATAGTAAAACCGTGCTAGAATCAGAAATATGATTCCCCAACACTCAGAGTTAAAATGAATAATGAATTTGAAACTATTCAAAATAAGTATGTATCATTTTTATTATGTGTTTAAGCTAACAATTCCCCATATTTACTGCAACTGTCAGCCTAAAACCACCTAATTTGGTATACCGATCCCGGCCTCAAGACCATAAACTGAGAACAGACTTGTCTGGTTTCTGACTAGATGAAATATTCAAAGTATATTTGCTTATATGTCTAATATATTTAGATGTAAGGGATTTAAAAGATCATGATTTTCTTTCCTCAACATAATTGTACAACTTAAAAATGGTAAACTGAGTTTGAAATCTAGCAGGGACTATATTTTTGGCGGAACGGCGGCGTATAAAAATATCTCCTTTTCTGCTTCTCAAAATTACTATAGAACAATGAATTTACTTAAAATTTTAAAACAATCAAAGACTTGAAGAAAATTTCAAATGTAAGTAAAATCAATAATAATGGACTGGAGCTTTAAAATATATCAAATAAATATAATTTCCCAAACAGACTACAATTTCGTTTACTTTTAAATGCTTCAAATCTAAGTACAGATTTGAGCAAAAAATCCGTAAAAAGTGTTTTTCTCTCTTAGTAAACGGTGAAAAAAAAATGTTTTTGTATCATTTTGTATCTTTATATGAATACTTTACCATATGTGAAAATTAAAAAAAATTAAATATACGAAGCATATAAAAATAACTAATATATCCTAAAAATCTAAGAAAAATAGAGGAAATTCGGATTAGCCAATATCTATTTTAGTTAAACTATTTATGTCAATTTGGTAGTATCATCTGATAGACCTTATATGGTTATATCTTTTTATGCAAAAAAAAAACTAAGCTTTTGAAATAAAAGTAGGCATCGCATGATTGGCAACAGCATTTTTTTATCCTTACAGTCAAGAAAAAAAGACAATGACCTTGACCTGACCTTGTTTTTAAAATAAAACGGTCAAATTTAATCTAATTGATGCCATCACTTAATGATAATGTCTTCGTGAATTAATGAAAATTTCATTAATTTTTAAATACTAGAAATATGAGAAGAATCCCTCCTAAAGTCAAAATTTCAAATGAATATATATTCTGAAACAATTTTGATAATCAAACAAAATTGTCATTATTAGTTCGTATTTAGATAGTAAACAAACATGCAAATTTCGAAACACATGTGCAAAATAAAACTCAAAATAATGAGAATCAAAATTTTGACTTAAGTCTATTTATAGTTTATAAGTATGTTCTTGGGGCCCAATTTATTTTTATATAACTTAATTCTGATTGTAACGCGCCATCATATTGGTTAAAAAAAATTACTTCCTATCGTATAAATTGGGTTGCCTAAGACACAATGACTTGCGTCAAAATGTATCGATCCGCCTGACGTTACATTTAATTTTTTTACAATTTGAAGTCATTTTTAAGGGTAATCATCTTTTTCTTACACTAAATGAATGAAAATTAAATTATAAGGAATGAAATTAATAGCTACCAAATTTATACGGTATAAAGCGGGTTGGAACAGTTTACGCTTTTTACAAACGGGTTCGCGGATTCATTCCTTAAATAATACATGTACTTAAGTTTAATTTTGCACGGTAACTGTATGTCATACAGTTTCAAAATACAATGGTATAAGCTCTTTTACGTTTAATATAAATGTAATTATCGAAACCCCGTCTCTAAAAATTCAACACACATAAGTTAAATTAACCGTTCAGAGTATTTTTCCAAAGTAGGTCAAAGGTCAAGAAAAAAAGATGTGTAAAGCTGGTATTTTTTCTTAATATTTTACGACAAACTTTGCATATGCTTGATAGCATAAACGTACCTCTAAATTATCTAGAATATGCTATATATCGGCACTATGAACATCGGCCCATGAACTATTTTGAAAAGTAGGTCAAAGGTCAAGTTCAGGGTTCACAAGGTCAGTAACCATGGTGATTTACAAAAGTCATAGTGCTAAGCAATATATGTGCAAAATATCAAATCCATACCTCTTACAGTTCTCAAGATATAAGGTGTAAGAACAAAGACCTATCTTTAGATTTCTTTGTTTTTCTTTTATTCGTACCATCTGTGATCTTTCTTAAGATAGAATTAAAAATGTAAAACAAAGTGATATTAAAAACATGCCCTCATCTGTCGCTATAAGACAGAAAACGAAATGCAAGCGTAATCGCCTGGGTAAATAACTACTCACCTCACCATCTACCTTTCGCTCCTTGTTGTCAAATCCCAGAAAATATAAAATCTCGTGTAACCGTTTGGGTACATAACAAAACTACTCACCGTCCATCCTTGGTTCTTTGCGTCATATCACAGAAAAAGGAAATCTCGTGTAACCGTTTGGGTAGATAACAAAACTACTCACTGTCCATCCTCCATGTTCTGTTGTCATATCGCAGAAAGCAGGAATCCCGTAACCATCTGGGTATATAGTGTATACACCGTCCACTCCCCTTTTGCTGGAGTTCTTTTTTAAAATTGCAGCACAGTCTTGGTCAGCTAGTTAAGATAGGGGGAAAGTCTATAATGCCTTTATTATTTTATCCGTGAAGGCATTTTTAAATGTCAACTCAATGTACTACAAAATTAAATTTTTTTTTCATAGTACATAAATGGTGGTCAACACCAACTCTTTGTTAAAAAGTTTAATATTTTCTGAAATTCACAATGGTGTTCTTGTCATTATCTCTAAAATATCTAAAGAAGTGCAGTTTTATAAAAAGATTGGAACATAATAAACAAACATTCAGTGCCTGACTGTTTTAAGAATAGTGTATAGAAAATGGCTGGTTTTGTATTACTTATTGCTCTGTTGTATATAAACTACTCAAAGCTACAAAATATACCTATGCATCTAAACAAAGCTGGCGTCCATTTTCCGTTGTCCTGACAAGTAGTGTAGAGTTCTCCAGATGGTTCGTATCCCTCTAAACATGACGAGTAATTGTATGTGTAACCCACAGAAAATGGACCTGATGGTGAGGTTTGTTCAGTATTTGGGACAACAGGAGGAGAGCCACAGGTTCTACCTGTAAAATAAAATAGCAAAGCAATGCCAAAATATCCCTTATGTTCTATTTTACTTATCTACTTTTCATACGACTGGACTTGTTATTTTATGTTGAAATTTGCTTTCTTTGATATTTATATATAAATTATCAAATACATTACCTTCCAGTACAGGAACACAGTTACCACTGATACACATAGATGTCTTATCACAGGTATGGTTGAAGCAATCGCCCGCCACTTCCTAAAGTAAAATTGTTTTAAATTCTTTAAATATCAACACATGACATAGCTTTTTTGCATTCAATTCAAATATGCTATATCTTACATCTAGGAGAACTTCACGGTCCACATGGATGGTGCTTGGTGTAGTTACGAGAAGACTGGGGTAAGCGGTGGCAGATCTAGTGTTTAACCTGCAGGTTCTGTAATCTCGGTTCCAGTCAGCTGATTGACACAAAGCAAACTTATGGCAGAGTTCCATGCACATCCAAACATCAACACTGAATAAAACTTTAAAAGCATGTCCCACTCCAAGTGAAGTATTTTCATCATTGTTACTTGTAAAAAATTTAGGAATACATTGAGAAAAACAGGGTTGCCTCAATCCTAGAACAAGTAAAATGACATATAAAATGTTCGTCATTGAATTTGCGACTGGTGCCATTTCTGTGAAATGTATCTCTGAAAAAGTTTATCTTGACCACTGTCGGCACAATCCTCTATTGACCTGCACAAACACCATCATTGTTCGTTAGAATTTACTTTAACGGTTCATCATGAAGCCACATAAACGACTTAATATCAGACTTGTTTACAGTCCATATTTGATTATCATATAGCCATTATTTTCAGGTATTATTATGATGAACATTATTTTGAATTTTGACCACTGTCCACACAATCGTCTATTGACCTGCACAAACACCATCATTGTTCGTTAGAATTTACTTTAACGGTTCATCATGAAGCTACATAAATGACTTAATATCAGACTTGTTTACAGCCCATATTTGATTATCATATAGGCATTATTTTCAGGTATTATTATGATGATGAACTTTATTTGAACTCTGAAATTAGTTAATGTGTATAATCCTCCTGCATCTTCCTGCTTCTGGAGATATAATAAACCGTCAGGTATACAAAATTTTTATGAGCTGTTTGTGAGTATTAGGTAAATAGCAGCTCACGCTAATCTAAAAGAGTGTAAATTACAAAGTTACTATGTACTGAATTTAAGATTTGTATTTTTATTATCATGTAATTTACGAATAAGGTGCCCGTAGATACACACATTAGCAAAGTTTGATTTCAATATAAGGGTATGTAGTCCCTCTACGGAAGTTTGTAAATATGAAAGCATATTAAAGGTTTGATGGTTGACCATATTACTGTCGACCATATTAAAAAGTGGACTGTTTTCCTTCTTATAATATACCCAAGTGTGTATCACTCAATTCTACTGTAGATTTCGTACAATTACGTGACGGTGTGATCCGACTTTCTGGATCACCGCACTGTGGTTTTCTGAATCCATATCACCCCTCAGTACACAGAAACATGACGTTATTTTTCACGTGCATCAAAGAGTTCCTTGACAAAATGCTTTGTTTAACGGAAAAATCTTATATAATTAATCTCAAATTTTTTTAAAAACTGTATTTTGCTAGTTGTAAAGGGGGTATATAATAAATTTATCATTATAACAGTAACTTGATCCGAAGAGCCGTATCACGTCTCGTTGACAGGCGCGGATCATCAGATCAAACTCGACGCTTGGCGTCTCGTTTGATCTGATGATCCGCGCTGTCAACTCGACGTGATACGACTCTTCGGATCAAGTTACTGTTATAATAATGTATATTTATCTACTGTCTACAGTTGACAATTAAGCAATTCTATTCTTTTTTACCTAGCTTCCTGGATTATTGACGCCACAATAGGAAACATTTTAATCAAATCGATCAGCGTAGAGATGCAACGTCAGACCGGGTTAGTCCTCACATACTGTTCGACAGATTAACGTTAGTTAACCCATGAGATTAGGGTTAGTCTAGTCGCAGACTGTTCATGAAATAGTAGATACTGCACACTGGAATATGAAAAAGACATTGTTTTCATACAAAATGCATTTTTTTAATCTGCAAAACATCATTTTATTCAATGTAACTGGATGCACAACTTTAAAGTAAGATATACATATTTAAAAAATGAATAACGTAAACATTTACATGGTACAAATCATATCAAAATTTCGACAAGCATCACAATTAAAAAAAAGTATCAAAAATTAGATTTCAAACAAATCTCAAATATAAAATTAAATCGTCAAAATGAACTTGGATCCATCTAAAACATTTTAAAAAGGGCAGTTGCTTTACATATCATATAAGTATGCTCAACATATCGTAAGCTTTGTCCACTTATCACCAGATTAAAAAAGAAAACGATCTGCATTGGCTATATAAATTCAGGTTACTTAATTACATAAACCATACATTGTATGATTGAAGCATTTAAAGAACTGCTCATTTAATAATTTGATCTACCTATCGACATATCGGAAATTTACAACTTTTCATTTTACTATTTATTCGAAAAATAAAATTTATCTTTAAATTAACGAGAAATCTCCTATTTTAAAGAGATATGTTTTTCAAATCGGAGATATCCCTCAATTTAGAGAAATATTTCTCTAAAAAAAAAAGAGATATTTCTTTCTTAGACAGATATCTCACTGGCTTAGAGAGATAAATCTTTTACTTAGAGAGCATATTCTTAGCGAAACTCTCAGTTATTTGCATATTTTGTTCAATGAAATATAAAAGTATTCATGGCAACTGTTTTCGGATTTCCTATGTTTAATCGAAACTCTTGGTCTTCAGTATTTACGTCTTTTAGACTCGTTTGATTCATTTCACAGTGATCCTGGCTTTGTCCATTGACTTTTTATGGATGACTTTTTTTATGGTGTTCACTTTTACTGTAGAGATCTAACTTTGATGAAATCCCAGTCTTTTTATGCAAAATTAATAGAATGTGGTACGCTTCATGCTTTGGACTTTAAGCGAAATATTTTAGAAGGCATCACACCGTATAGTAAGAAAGTTGAATGCAAATGAAAAATGAGACAGAGAATGAAAATTACTAATTTATGTTGATCTATATTCTACATTTTTACTTAATTATTTAGAAAATATTTAACAAACTATCGATAATGGTTAGGATTATTCATCTGATTTGAATTCGCTTCTGAGTTTTATGAATTCATTCTTCATAATCGATTATTGGTATTTATCGACGATCTCTTTAAAATATCATAATAATGAATGATTAAAATTGGACAAAATATACATGTAAAAATAAAGAATTTCTAAATCCACATAGTTTTCTTGATGTAAAAATTGAATAAATTTCCACACACGCTATCCTGTATTTGACGCGCACTAAGCGTAAACCAGAAAAAATCCCACAAAATAATGTCAAAGAAATTGTGACGTCGTTTTAATCTCGCAGTGACGTTATATTTTCTGTACACTGACGTCGCAGCCAGAGGGTTAAACATGTTGGCACTTTCTTCAAATTCTAAGCCTTAGAAGCAAATATACCACACTAAATTATACTATTTATGTGTGCACGACCACTGGAAGTAAAATTCAGCCATTTATTAAATTTTCCCTTCATAAAAAACAAGTATGAATAAAGAACGTTTATTTCAATAAAAAATATTTAATCATCTCTGTAAGTTCGAAAGTTGTTTCAGTTTTCCCCACACTCTTATAGGAAATAAAAACTGTGCTCTACACAATGAAAAAAGGTGAAGACAATGAACAGTCATCAATCTCATGAATCCAATTAACAAAAAAAAAATCGTGAACAGGGCAAAAAAAACGGACCCCTGGAAACACCAGAGGTGGGATCAGGCGATATCTATTTTTGGGTACAGAAAAAAAGTTTATTTCTAACTTACATTAAAAAGCGAATTGTATGATCAAACAATTTATAAAATTAGTTTGTATTAAAATGAATATAGTAAAGTTTAAGCAGAGCATTCATAACATGGCAAATAGTGATACAGATATTTCTCTCTTTCTCTGAAACTATGGTATTGAATAGTTCCGTCGACTTTTTATACATGTGTATGTTTCACTAACACTATCCAACATATTCCAATAAAAGGAAAATTTTCATCATTCTAATCACTTATTGCAAGGAGTTTATTCATAAATATAAATCAAACTCAGCAAAGTTATAGACATAATTTTCAATACCTGAAATTGGGAAAAAAGACAACAATGGTTCCTTAGGCTTAAGCAGTCAATTTTCTAAAATTAAAAACCGGTCGCGGTAGCCTAGTTGTAGGGCGCTCACTTCCTAATTGGAAGGTCGTCGATTCAAGTGTAGATAATGAACATCTCTTAATACCGCCCCATCCCCACCCCAGAACACCTAACTACTTAAATATAAGGAGTCTCTATTTCTCGAAAATATGTTATTTCTTTGTCAATTCCATCTATATGTCATTATGCGCAATCGGTTTTTACTCTTTTTATGGTTTAAAATTTGGCCATATACGGTATAATAAGAATACACAAGGTAAGAAACAAAATTATTTGAACGGGGCATTTCCCACTTCGAGGCTGATTTTCAAGCTAATTAATCATAGTGAATCATATTTTTGCAAGCACTCTGTCAGGTAGATATTCTCCTACTAGTCTCTTTAATCTAAACCACATCCTTAATGTTTTATATCCTGTAATCAAACGATTTATTAAACGGACACATAACATTTTTAAAGAAGGTTTTGATGTATGCCGATCTGTTTTGCTTTATCTGATTAGTCAATAATTTTTAAAACTGTATTCCGTCGATCAATCAGATGAAGCGAAACAAAGTGACAACATCAAAACCTCTTGTATCGCTGCCAATGGAGAAAATGTTGTGTCTGTTTAACAAATAGTCTGATTACGTCATATACATGTTTTATATATATGTTAATAATTCAAGGGGGTCCCGTGGGTTTTTTTTTTCTTGTCCTGTTTACGATCTATTCTTTACTCGATTTATAAGGTAAATCACTATTTGTTTTCCTCAACCTATTCATTCTCGTTTTTGCTAATGAAAGGAATATTTTTAAATCTCAAACATCTTAAGATTTGAAAACCTTTTCTGTCTTTGACTCCAACGTCAGACAATGGTGTCGTGTTTAAAATTGTTGTGTATGATTAGCACTTGTCATGCAAACCTTTGGGAGATAGAATCTAAATTTCTAATTGTTCTAGACATATCGTCTTTAAGTAAGATCTGCTTTTAGCAAATATAATGTTGCCGATCGTGAGATACTTCTGCATTTCACATTACTTTGGCATAATTTACTCTCCAAGA